CTGAGAAATTGAAATTGTCCCCGGAATCCATGCTGGGAGAAGGGAAAGATTGAAGCCTGGGGCAGCCAGAGTGGGAGCTTGTCTCTCAGGAAGAGAGTCCACACAGTCTGGCAGCTTGTTAGACCCCCTTGCAGGGAGTCAGGAGCTGATCAGTGGTTGGTCAGTGACGGGCAAGACAAGGACACACCCTGACCAGATTGCTTAGCTGCGCATCCTTTGCCCTGTGTTAAACCTAACGTCCGTGCCAGGATCCTGACAGATTGAGGGTCACTGGTACTCTGGGTTAGCTCTTCCCAATGTGGCCGCGTTAACTAAATCTCCTTTTCCTGGGTTTCATTATGACTTGACTCTTTAATTGTCTCGTTAAGGGCAGGTGTCAGAGCCTAGCTCACTAGGCCCCAGGCCCTGCCCTAACAATTCCACAGTGGCCTCCCCTGCCCGTCCTGGCCTCCAGGACTCAGCTCTGTCTGATGTATCAGGACACGACAGTGTTCCCAGTTTCAGATACCTCATCCACAATACAGTGCCCTCCACTTTGGCTGAAGCGCAGAAGACCGCTGGCACTGGGACATAGTGGCCAGGGGACACTCTTAGCAAGGGCTAAGTGGCCCAGCTGCTTCCAAGCCAGGAAGGCACAGGGTCATTTTACGGACACTTGCAGGCCCTACTCGCCATGCGGGAGGCCTGCAGTGGAGTCTATGGTGACCAGCATGCTTGGCACAGGTCACCCTAAAGTCCAAGACTAGGGCCAGAGGGTCTGAACGGCTGGATCAGGCCACACACATGCATATACATGCACACATATGCATACACATGCACACACACACAGACACAGGTTCACACATATACACACACAAGACACACACAGGTTCACAAACACACACACACGCATACACATGCACACACACAGACACAGGTTCACACATATACACACACAAACACACATATAAGACACACAGGTTCACAGATACATATGCACATAGGTCACAGGCGTACACAGATACACGCAGACAAACACAGGTTCACACACAGACACACACAGGTCACACAGACAGACACACACAGACATAGACACACACAGGTCACACAGATATACACAGATACACACGCATGTCAGACACACACATGCACACACACATAGGTCAGACGTACACAGACACATACATGCACACAGGTCAGACACAGACATACACACACACACAGAGAACAGATATACACAGACACACATGCACACACACATAGGTTCACACAGGCAGTAAGACAGCAAGACCACTGCCACCCACACACTTCCTACTGTAGGAGTGTCAAGAGATGTGACATGTCTCTCTAGCACCCTGTGACCATGAGCAAGTTGTAGGGTGGTAAAGAGATGTGGAGGATGATCTGTAACAGGAAAGTCCCTGCACCCTCAGCTCCTAGGAAAAGGGGATCCCTCCCTCTGCTGGCTCCTTGGTTTTAGGTCTACTCATTGTAAGGAAGGTAAAACTGAGGCTCCAGGAAGCAGAGTTGCCTGCAGGAACTGAGATACCCAGGCTGGAAATTCCATGCCCAAAGAAACTCTTGATACATGCCTGGCCCCACGGGCCCCACCTGGCCCCACCTGGCCCCACCTAGGTCCTGTGGGCAGGTCTTTCTCACTGGCCAAGCTGGCTGATGACCAGTGTCTTCTCCGGCTCTACCAGAGACCTCAGTCTGCCCTATCCCAGTCCTTTGGCAAACCTTACCCCTAGTCCCTACAGTCAAGACACTGGGAATTGGCTAACCCACAGGAGTGTTCACTCCTATCCCAGGTCATGTGGGAGCAGGGGCCTGTGTGTTCTTGGAGTGGAGAGGGGGTCATCAGGCATCCCTACTGCAGCCAGGACCCCAGAACCCTTGCACCTCCCTGCCCTCGGGGCTCCAGTGCCCTCAGGGCTCCAGTGGAACATTCCAAAGCTTCTAACTGGAAGTTCCTCTAAAAGGGACAAATAATGAGCGCTGGGAGCCACTGCAATGGGGGCTCTTGGAACCCAGTAGTGAGCAGATCTCTGCCTGGTGAGTACCAGAGGCAGGGTGAGCAGCTGCAGAGCCTGGCCAGGCCCCGCTGCTCGAGCCTTATTTGGTAAGAGCCTGGGCTGGCCTGGTCACTGGAACTCCAGAAAGCCCTGGACTGACCCCAGTGCTCCCAGACGGGCAGCCACCCCCACCCACCCGGCCAGGGGCTGGCGTATTCAGAGGTGGGAGCTCCAGGGTCAGGTGGGTCCCTCGGGACTCCATCCCAAACCTGGACAGGGATTCCCCAGCCTTTGCCTATATAAGGCTGAGGAGAGACACGGGCGCCAGGCAGACCCACAGCCCCAGAGGTATTGTCTTAAGTGGGTGCTTGGCACTGGACACTGAGGCCTTGGATTCTTGTAAAGACCTGGCAGGGAAATTGTTTGACAGTTTTGACAGTGTGCTGGAGTCTCCTCTCCTGGGAAGCCGCCTCGGCCAGTGCAGCCCCAGGCAGAGGGTATGGATGTGGCTTGTCTACCAGGACCCTCCTGCTAGGGCGAGGGCTGATGTGCTTCCGTCCTCACGGAGGAGTTCCCAGGAGAACAGGTGTGGTAGCTGTGCCGGAGCTTCCGAACCCCAAATCCAAGCACAAGCTGGCCACACCAGTGGACTCACTTTTGCCACCTTGTTTGTGTCTCAGGAAGACCCCCGAGCTCTTCGGGAACCCTGATAAGGGGGAGCTGGGGCCAGAAGGAAAGGGTTTGTTTTTTATTGTTTAGTTCTGGGAATTGAACCCAGGGTTGTGCACATGCTAGCCAAGGACTTCACCTGGGCATTTACCGACCTTCTGAACAAGCACACTGAGTGTCCTGTGCTTAGATCTGAACCTGAACCTGGGACAGCCACAGCAACCCAGCCTGATAGACATGCTCCAAATAAGGCCACAGGGAAACCCTCCCCCCACCCCTCCACCCCCCCACACCATGTAGGTGACTTTTGTTTTGTTTTTCAAGTCAGGGTTTCTCTGTGTAACCCTGGGTGTCCTGGAACTCAGTCTGTAGACCAGGCTGACCTGTAACTCACAGAGATCCACCTGCCTCTGCCTCCCAAGAGCTGGGATTAAAGGCATGTGCCACCACCACCCGGCTCACATAGGTACCTTTTAAGCTGAGACCCCCAAATAAGTCGGGGCCAGTCCTAGGAAAAGGGGCTGGTGTTCCAGCAGAAGACACAACCCTGAGGCAGAGAAAGCCGGGATCAGTATAGTCCAGTTTGGGGTCCAGTGTGGTCCTGTCTGGAGAGCTGGATGAGCAGGGGGCAGGGAGACAGAGGCACAGGCGCCATGGGGGTCTGTCCAGGATTCGGGTGTCGCTGGGAGCAGTGGGAAGCGGGGCTCAAAGCAGGGGTCTAGCAATGTCATCAGACCGTGCACTCCGTGTCTTCGATCCTCTGGGTTCTGAGTGGTTTCTCATGATTTCCCTCACTCCTAAGAGGGGCAGGGTGACCTTATCTCCACTTCGCCAAAGAGGAACCAGAGGCCCCAGAAGGGGTGAGACGGAGTACAGACACTTCCCTCTGCCGTCTGGTGCCAAGGCCAGGCCAGGCACAGAGGTTGCTGGTGGCAGGACTGGCTGGGCTGAGCAGCGGCAGGTGGGGGCAGGGTCTACTCCCACCTCCTGCTCCCCCTTTGCCCCCACCCCCATCAGTCTCCTTCAACTGCCTGACAACCTGCTGGGACAACTCTCAAGAAACTCTCTGTTCAGGGCAAACAAAACATTTGTCACCTGTCCTGGCCAGCCCGGCTGGAGCTTAGCAGAAGGGAGGGGATAGCCAGGTTCCTGGTCTGGGAAAGAGACCGAGTGGCTGCCTATCATCTCTGGCTGCAGATGTGGCTGCCCACAATGACAGTGAGGTCCAGACCCAGGACTTGGCCACAGCACGTGTCGCCTAGGCGCAGAGTTAGAGTCCCTAAACCTGCTTTTGAGACCCAAGACTCCAAGGCTTGAAGCAAACTTGTGCCCCCTGGGCCGGTAGGCCATCTTTTAAGGGGCATAGAAGTAAGTAGCCAGGGTTGCTGGGCACCAGGCAGTCTGTGCATCCTGGTGAGAAGGGCCTGCTACTGTGTGCACACAGAGAGGCTGGCACAGAGTCCAGACCGGCTGGCACAGAGGGTCACACAGCTTAAAGTTATTGGATGAAGATTTCTGCCTCCAGCTTTTGCCACTGACCAGCAGGGGGCATCACATCACGGGTTTAGCCGTCCCCCAAGGGCTCCATCTACGAAGGGTCGCCAGAACAGACCCCTGTGGGCACAATGTCTGCTACCCACCAGGCACTTGTTGGGCACCGTGTGTGTGTCACAGCGACAGTGGAGGACAGAGCAGCCGAGCCCAGTCTGAGGCTGCGCTCTGAACAGAAGAAGAAGAAGAAGAAGAAGAAGAAGAACAAGAAGAACAAGAAGAAGAAGAAGAAGAAGAAGAAGAACAAGAAGAACAAGAAGAAGAAGAAGAAGAAGCAGCATCACACTTGGGAGGGGAGAGAAGCGGGGTCTGGTGCTCTCTCAGAGAGCGCATTGGTAAGGAAAGTCTACAGAAGCACTGCACCCATCCCACCCCACGTGTCCTATGTCAGCTTTAGCAGCACCAACGGTGGCGGTGGCATCTGGGCCGCAGACCACAGGGCTGCCATAGTGGCGAGGTTAAAGTTGTCACCCCGAGTCCCCCAACCACCTGCATGGCCCATCATAGCCTTGCAGCACCTGCCTAGGGCTAAACACAGCCTACCCCTCTATAAAGAAAGTTCCCCAGAGAGACAGGAGCAGGGATGGGGTGTGGACGGTATTATCAGAGCTGATGCCTTGGGGGGCTCAGCTGTGGAGGAAGGTTTGCTGAAAAAGGGCAGAAGGGAAGGTATGAGAGGAAGGAGAAGAGGGGGAGGAGAGGGGAAGAGGGAAAGAAGGGAGAGAAGGGGGAGAGGAGAAGGAGAAGAGGAAAAAGGAGAGGGGAAGAGAGGGGAGGAGAGGGAAGGGGAGGGCAGGGGAGGAGAGAAGAGGGGAGGGGTTCCAACTACTCAGCCTCAGGAACCGGCAGCAGGGGTGGGGGAGGTGGAGTTCCACAGCCTGGGGGCCACACTGCCAGAACCTGGGCTGGCTTCAGCCACAGTTCTCAAACTGGACCCCGGAAGAAATCTTGAGGGCTTTGGCCCAACTCCTTTAGCTCTCACTCTGGTTTTGTTTGACCTCAGCGCACTTAAGAGGAAATTCTCCAGCACCAGAGTGAACCGTCCCCACCTGTCCTCTTTGTGAGAGGCTGGGGGGCCCACTAGAGTGTATCCTGTACTAGAGGACCTCAGGGTTCACAGTGCCTTCAGGCTGTGGGGCCTGGCACCCCACTCTCCTCCTGTGTGGACAACCCCTACAGCCTAGAAACTGATGAGGGGAAACCCTGGGTTTGAGCTTCACGCAGCTGTCTGCTCCCCAGTGTGAAGGATGTGAACTTGGTTCCGTGGTGAACACAGAGAGCTGCCTGGCCAGTGACTGGGCCCAGACCCTCTGAAGCCACCAAAGGCAGGTCTCCAGGGACAGCCACGTCCACGTTCTGGAGCCTCAGGCCAGGGCACGCCTGTGGAAGCATGCTTGCATTTGCTGCCAAACAGGAAAGAAAAAGGTCCCTTTGTTTCCAAGTGTCTCCTGGTGACAGCACCCTCTCAGAGATGTCCATATCTCTCTAGTGTAGGACTCTGTGTCAGGAGGACCCATGGGACTGCCTGGTTCAAACCCCAGCTCCACCATGTCACTTGGTCATGGGCAGAATGGGGCTCTCAGAAAGGCACAAACCATAGAGTGGCTAAAGGGACCTCGACGCGGAGCTGGGAATGTGGTTAACTGGTAGCTTGCCCAGAATGCATGAAGCTCTGGACTTCATCCCCAGTACCACAAATACCCATAACCCCAGCACAGGGGAAGCAGGTACGTGTGGCATCAGAAGTTCAAGGTCATCCTCAGCTACTCATCAAGTTCAAGGCCAGCCTGGGCTACTGAGACCTTTTCTCAAAAAACTAAAAAGAAGATAAATAATTATGGACCACTAGTAACTGATCAGGCCAGCACTTTAAACAGTATGGGTGCCATAGAGACAGGAGCAAGGGCTCTGAGGCTTTCATTTGCTTCCCCTCCTGGGTTTTCTTTTCTTTTCTTGTCTTGTTGTGTGTGTGCGTGTGTGCGTGCGTGTGCGTGTGTGCGTGCATGTGCGTGCGTGTGTGTGTGTGTGTGTGTGTGTGAAGGTCACAGAGTGAAGGTCACACATGTGAAGGTCACAGAGGCCTGCAGTGAGACTGTCTGGTCACTGCGCCCCAGGGATCCATGTGACTCCACTCCTGGCTTTTTACGACACTGGGGATTCAAGCTCAGACCCTCATGGTTGTGCAGCATGCGCTTCGCTGACCAAGCATCTCCTCGCCCCTGCCCCTCCTGTTTCTATAAAGCACCACTCAGAACACTGTTGCTCCTGAGTTGCCTCCTCGGCTGGGACACTTGCCACACGGTGACGGACTAGGCCAGGCAGATATGGGACCCTTCATGGCACCTGTCTGATTCTGGCAGGGGGAGCCTCAAAATCTGTAAGTCTGTGATTGTCAACACTTACAGTTCTGATGTGAGCAGCATGGGGCAGGGCTTGATCAGCATCCTTCCCAGCGGTACCCTTTTCGGAGTGACAGAAGAGCCATCACTGTCTCTTCCTTCAGCTTGTTTGCCTCTGTTGTTTCTCGTGTGACCTCTGGGGTCACATCTCCCGATGTCATGGGTCAGGGTCCCTTGTAAAGAAATGTCATTAGATTTTTATTACAATAGTTTGTTTACACATTCATTCATTTACGTGTTTCTACCTGGGGGGGTCACTGCAGGGCATGTAGTGATGAGTGGAACCTCAAACAGGCCATTTGGTGGCCAGTGTCTCAACCCCCTGAAGGAAAGGCCTTCTGGGCAAAACCGCAGCCAAGGCGCCAAGGACCCACCCCAACCCCCCAGCCACCCAGCCCCTAGCCACACCATCCAGAGGACCCTCAGACTCTGCCACTGGGATGAAGAAGATGTCCTCTGCTCTTGGATCAGCAAATCCAGTGGGACAAGAGTGCCAGGCGCTTTTCCTGAATCCAGAGACGGCCACCCATCTCTAGGAAGCCCGCAGGCCAGAGACCAGAGCAGCCCACTCCACCGCCTGTGGACACACCTGCTCCCTGTGGGGTGCCCATGCTGATTGGACCAGTGTCCCTGTCTTGGCAGCCACCGGTACTCAGGTGTGGAGCCCATCGCTTTCATGGGTGAGCACCATCTACGTGGGTCCTGCACGCCCTGGATCCCCACAGACCCATGCATACTGGCCCTGCTCAGCAGCACCTGGGGTACAGCAGGGACAATGGTGACAACACCCTGTCAGCTAGCAGCCAGCACAGCCCGCAGTCACTCTGACCCTTACCCCACTCCTGCCACCTTTTCGTTCAGAGGTGACTTTACCTTCCCAGACCCCAGGACTCTGCAGGCTCTGCCTGCCTGTATCCTGAAACTCAGGAGTTCCTAAAACCAGCCTTCTCCACCCCAGCTTTTCCTGTGATGGGGACTGTCCTGGCCCCTGCAAAGGGTTTGTGTCCTGGGCCTCCAGCAGCTGAACATCTCCAGACGTCAATGGTGTCAAGGAGTGACTCCCCTGGACTACCACAAACCAATCTATCCCCAGTCTCTCTGCTCCTCCCTACCGCTGTAACCCTTCCCTAACCCAGCAGAGCGGCCATACATGGCTGCTTCCTCTTGGGGAGGTAGAGTGGCTCTTTCTCCACATTTGGACTCACTCTTGTCCTGGTGACCCACAGAGGCTTTTCCAGGATGAACCCACCTGCCTGCAGCTTGTTGACGGATTTTCAGGCAGGCCCCCCACACCACACCTCTGTGCCCTCTGCCCCAAACTCCTCCCACACACTCAGGGGTTCCTATCTTTTTAAAAACATTTCTTTACTTATTGGGTAGGTCAAGCACAATGTGCCATGTAGAGTCAGCATAGCATTCGGGCATCCCGTCCCTCCTTTCACCAGGCGGGTCCTGGGATCAAACTCAGGAAGTTAGGCTTGTTGGCAAGTGCCTTTGCCAGAACAGCCATCTTGCCCACTCCCTTGACACCAGGTTTCATATAGGCCGACTGGCTTCAAACTTGCTGTTACCAACGATGACTGAGCTTCTGACCCTCCTGCTCCCCCGTGCTGCGGTTATAGCCGTGCAGCATGCCTGACCGTCATAGGGAATGGAACCCTGGGGCCTCAAGCACGCTGGGCAAGCACTCTACCAACCGAGCCACATCTCCAGCTCCTGACTTTTTCTTAAATGGCCATTTGTGCTTTTAATTTCCACTTCCCCCACACCAGTGCTCAGGCGTCACAAGGGCAGGGGCTCTACCCGCCTTAATCTTCTACCCTGGGTCTACCACAACATGGGGCTAGAGGACTCTCAGGAAACATGGGGTCTCTGGAGGAAGGGATGAGCCGGCAGCACCCCCTCTGTTGGGAAGACACCGCCCTACGCCTGGCTGTGGAGAGGAGTGCCCGCTTGGTGCTTTGTGTAACCTGCTGAAGAACTTGCAGGTGCTTCTGGCCTAGGCGTGAGAGGAAGCAGGTGGAGACCTTTAGCTCAGGAAGCCGCCACAGGCCCAGCCACACCCCGACTCTGAGCCTGAGAGGCTGTCGCTCTAAATATAGCCACAGGTTGTGCAAGGAAGTGGTGGCTTTGATTACCCCAGGGCGTCTCAGCCCTCCCAGTGCGTTCTCAGCCCCGGGAAAGAAAATGGGGAAATGAACTCCTCCAGATGGGGCCTCCACGCAAAAAGGAGGCCCACAGCAAGGCAGGGGTCCTGGGTGCTGCTTCAGGACAGCTGGGACCAGGTTCTGTAGCACTGTCAGGGTCCCCTGAATGAACTCTCACACCTTTGCTCTGGACCAGCTTAGAGTGTCAAATCAAATGCTGTCTGCTGTGGTCCTAGGGCAGGACAGAGAAACAGGGATGTGGAAGGGAAGGTAACCCCTCACTCTGAAGTCAGGTTGAAGACTCTTTTTTGTTTGTTTTTTTGAGACAGGGTTTCTTTGTGTAACAGCCCTGGCTGTCCTGGAACTCATTTTGTAGGCCAGGCTGGCCTTGAACTCACAAATGTCCACCTGCCTCTGCCTCCTGAGTGCTGGGATTACAGGTGTGCTACCACGACCGGCTCAGGTTGAAGACTCTGAGGACCTGAATACAGAGTTCCAACAGTCAGCCAGACACAGTGACTGTTTTTATCCCATCACTCCGGAGGCAGAGGCAGGCAGATGTCTGAGTTCAAGGCCAGTCTGGTCTATAGAGTGAGTTCCAGGACAGCCTCCAGGGAAACACATAGAAAGAAACCATGTTTGGAGAAACAAAACAATAAAGAATTCCAGCAGGCAACAGTACTGACTGTGATGGTTGCCAACATGGAGGCTGTGTGTCCAAACTGCCCTCCTCCCGCAAACAAACAACAACAACAAAACAGCAGCACTGTTAGGAACGCTGGCCTAAAGGGGGTTTCTGCTCACCAGAAACCTCCCTTAACCGGTCCCCAAAGGTCAACCGCCTCAGGCAGGGCATCTAGTTCAGGTCAATCGAAAGAGCCTGTAGCAGCTCCGGGGCCCCCACCTGCTGACTGTCATGTCAAATCTGCTCACTTTTCCATCACTTTGCCCCCTCCACCCAGAGACAGCCTTGGTAGTCTGACCCCCAATAAATCTGTCTACCATGGAGGGTCCAGATCAGCAATTTCCTCAGTTTCAAAGGCAAGATCCCTTTTATTTAGTTAGTTTTGAAGATTTATTATTGTTGCGACAAGCAGTTCTGGATGGCCTGGAACTTACTATGTAGCCCAGGCTAGCCTTGAGTTCACAGAGATTTGTCAGTCTCTGCTTCCTGAGAGCTGGGATTAAAGGTGCGAGCCACTACAGCTAGTCTTTGCTTTTCATTGTGTGAGTCTTAGTGTTTCTATGTGTGGGCATGTATGCACACTCGTATGCAGGTGCCCTTAGGGTCCAGAGAGGGTGTCAGATCCCCTAGAACTGGAGTTACAGGGAGTTGGGAGTTGCCCAATGTGAGTGTTGGGAACTGAACTCGGGTCCTCTGTAAGGCTGAATATCTCTTCAGTCCCAAGGTTCGATCTATCTATCTATCTATCTATCTATCTATCTATCTATCTATCTATCTA